GATATTTCTGATCAACGCTCAGACGTTTAGATGATTTGAATAATCTGTTGATTGGCTGAATCTTAAATGCATAAAAATGGTGGAAGATACAACCAGGAGAGGGCCTGAAACAGCAGATCAGTGGTATGTGCCGTGATTTATGCTTTAGTTAGAAAGGTAAGAGCTGAACCAGCCGAAAATCCAATAGAGATCTTCACTATTACTGAGCTGCTGGCTCAGAGGTTCAAAGTTCTCCTCTAAGGATGAATGAATGTGTTTTCTAGATGTCTTTGCTTCAGTTTCTGGAAAAAGAGCTTAATGAAACTGTTTCAGAACTCAGGCTGTGTTTTTGCAGTTTGGTCTGTTGGGTGCAGGCTGTTGTTCGGTAAACAGAGTGTTCCTTGTGTGATCTGGGTCACAGTCCAATCCCACCTCCAACATGGCAACAGTACTTTTAACTTTACTCATCAGGAATTTTGTTTAGAGTCAGTAAAAAGGAGGGTGGATTAATGCCAGCTTCAAACAGGTTTTATGTTGGATTCCTGTTGAGGCTCTTTGGCAGCAGCACCATCAGCAGACTGGATGTGTTTTCCTATCAGAGCTTTGGTAACTTCAAAAAGGCACACGTCTAGTGTGTGTGTGTGTGTGTGTGTTTGCTGAGTAATTACCATTGCAGCACCTATAATTATCTGGAGTGTGTAGATGTGTAGAGAAGTCAGATCTCTGATTACAGACTGGCTCATACTCGCTCTGAAACACCAAGTGGAACGTTAACCAAAACGGTTCTGCTGACAGTGTCGGTGTGAATACTTTCACTGTTCAGGTCATCATCAACAAGTCGTACAAAGGTGGTGATGGTGAAACACATTTGAGGCTCTTCTCCTCCCTGACATGTCCCGCCTCCTTGTGGAGCATTTTTCAAAAGTGAAATGTGGGTGGAGAAAGACTCCGGGACTGACATTATTCACCCTTTAATAAAACCCTGCCCTAGAAATCCAGGCAAACTGTAGCAGCAAGATGTCAGCTATCTACACTCCATTGTAGCTTCGGCAGGTCTACCGTAGGACAAAGCAATTTTAGATCTGGCCAATCACAGCGCTATACCTTTACTAGAGCTGATATGGAGACATGGCGTCGGCTCAAGAATGGCGGCTTTGGCATCGACTTTGGATGGTTTAGACTTGTGCTTTATTTGAGACATGAGCAGATAGAGGAAGTTGAGTCATTCATTTAGAAAAAGATGTATTTGCTTCTGTTTCTTCAATAGTGTATGGCAGACTGCCCTGTTGACTGGTTTCCATAGTGATGGTTGGGCGATGTAGAAAAAAGCATATCGCTATAAAAAAATATATTGATCCATATCAGTAATTATTAAAAACTATCAAAACATGTATCAAATCTGTTCTAAGTCCAGCTCTGGCCCTTTTGTGCTATTTGTTAATAAACTACTCTTGAGAGGAGCTGTATAAAAGATCATGTTCCTTCTACTTTTAATAAAGAACACAAAACTGAAGTAAATTCAACACTTTATCTAGACATCTTTGTTTCATTAGGGCTGAAAGAATTCAGGAAAAGGTTGAATCACATTATAACATGTACAGTGTGAGAAAAAAGTACAAACACAAGACAAATATCATAAAAACATTAGAATCAAATATCACTAAAAAATACATTAATTCCTTAGACTAACGGTAAAAGCTGTATCTGTTACCAATCTCTTAAGGTTCACTTTAAACCTGCCATGATATTTATTATTAATAATTCAGGAGGAGGATAATCCAGTATGTTATTCCAGTGGAAGAGTAAAGATAACATGGGAGGTGTTCCTCGTGGTAAAACTGTTTCTTACAGGTCGGCAACAGCTTTGTAAACAAGCTGAAGTCCAGATTTTGTGTAAGGACACAACCATGCTACATGCTAGTCTGTCATTTACCTGCATCCATGACAAACTAATGCATCCAGGTGATTTTGTCTCACTTTAAACCAGGGATTGTTGAAATTCTGGCGATACGATACATATCACGATACAGGGGAGACGATACGATATATCACGGTATATTGCAATACATTCAGTCAGACGTTACAAGCAACTTTTTTTTTACTGAATTTATTGTAAGAATGTTCAATAAACAGTCCAAACTGATACGTAACGTGTTTAACATGAGGTATCTGACCCATGATGGAAGGATTTACATTTCAATGGTGGAAACAAAACCCGCTGCACACTGCTGCCAACTAGCGGGTGGCGATTGAATTGCACAAAATGAAAAGAAAATACACAAATATTTGCATGTAAATTCTTTCAAAGATTAGATACACGGCTTTTGAATATTGATAAAATATTGCTGGAAAAAATGTCACAATATATTGCCGTATCGATATTTTTTTACATCCCTACTTTAAACAGTTTTGCTTAACGCGTTGTTTTATTCACGTCTCATTGATCCTGATCCGCTCAGGTCTGAAAGAAAAGATATATATCCTCTCTCTCTCTCTTGGCCGTGTGCTCCCACGCACCGCCACACCAAATTTCCTCCTCTTCTCCTAGCTGTGACAACGTGTTTAAGTCACATTCTGTGTGTTCAAGTTTGAGGGGAGGGCTTGGTGAGGGAGTGTGTCTGGATCCGTGTTGTTAATTGGTTGGGAGTAAGTATCAGTCTAGTATTAAGCTACCTGACAGGTTATAATGAAATAATAATCTATTTATCAACGTTTTTATTGACACATTTTTCTATCACACCACAATGTCATTACTTAATTATTGTCCAGCCCTATTCTGGATAACTAAATTGAAATTTTTACTTGATAAAATCTCATCTTTAATCTGGGAATAACTGAATTATGGGTGTCTGCTTTAAAGACTCTATCAGCTATTAGATAATAAATTGGCTTGCCTTATGCACATCTCTGTATTTAGCAGCTTATCCTACCTTGTTTTACAGGCTAATGAGAAAAAAGCCTTTTTACTTTTGGGAGTTTTAGCAAAAGTTCTTCTGCATCGTCTTCGTCGTCCTCTTCTTCTTCTGGCCCTGGAGGTTTGGCCACATGTAGCTAATAAAGCTGCTCTAACTGTAGCTTTTCTGCGCAGAACGCTTCAGCTGCTCAAATAGCTAATCGTATGCAAATTAGCCAGCAGGAGTAAACTACATATAAAAAAAGACAAGCTAAGTTGTTTATCTTCAGTGCAGGCAGGAAGCTCATTTGTTGATTCAGAGACCTGATGAGAACAATAGGGGTAAGTGGATTTACAGAGGAAGAAGAGAAGGGGTGTGTTGTCTCTGCTCTCAGATTCCTATCAGGGAGGGAGTCATCCCACAGATCAGCATATCCAGATAGAAAGGTTGGGTCGTTTCCTCCACAATCCCTCATCCTTTCTAAGATAAGAGCTACAGGAAGCACCTCGGCTAGTTTCTCTCCAGCTTTTTGTTTTTCCCTCTCAGAAAACACTCATTAGATATTTTATCTTTGGTATCTATGAGGAGATGGGAGCTTGGTCTGTGGTACCTGGGTTGATCCAGTTAGTCTGTGGTACCTGGGTTGATCCAGTTAGTCTGTGGTACCTGGGTTGATCGGGTTAGTCTGTGGTACCTGGGTTGGTCCGGTTAGTCTGTGGTGCCTGGGTCGATCTGGTTAGTCTGTGGTACCTGGGTTGATCCGGTTAGTCTGTGGTACCTGGGTTGATCGGTTAGTCTGTGGTACCTGGGTTGGTCCGGTTAGTCTGTGGTACCTGGGTTGATCGGTTAGTCTGTGGTACCTGGGTTGGTCCGGTTAGTCTGTGGTACCTGGGTTGATCGGTTAGTCTGTGGTACCTGGGTTGGTCCGGTTAGTCTGTGGTACCTGGGTTGATGTGGTTAGTCTGTGGTACCTGGGTTGGTCCGGTTAGTCTGTGGTACCTGGGTTGATGTGGTTAGTCTGTGGTACCTGGGTTGATGTGGTTAGTCTGTGGTACCTGGGTTGATCCGGTTAGTCTGTGGTACCTGGGTTGATCCAGTTAGTCTGTGGTACCTGGGTTGATCCGGTTAGTCTGTGGTACCTGGGTTGATGTGGTTAGTCTGTGGTACCGGGGTTGGTCCGGTTAGTCTGTGGTACCTGGGTTGATGTGGTTAGTCTGTGGTACCTGGGTTGATGTGGTTAGTCTGTGGTACCGGGGTTGGTCCGGTTAGTCTGTGGTACCTGGGTTTATATGGTTAGTCTGTGGTACCGGGGTTGGTCCGGTTAGTCTGTGGT